AACTTACAGATTAAGGGGCGGTAATATTATAATGAGATCCTTTGCAACGTCACCAAGGGAGTGAAATCAGACGCGCTCATTTTTTCAGACGCTTGCAGAAAAAGGCTTCCCAAAACAAAGTTACTGGGTTAATCTTTTTCACCTTTCCTTGGTTGGTAGATGCACCAGGGACCTGATTATAGCACTTAAAACCTGAAAAAGTCCGATTTTCATGATATGTCACCTTTAATAAGTAACAAATGAAGATTATGCTGTTTTTTTTAATTAGATTCTTCATATATATCGCTATCTTTAAATAAATCATTCATTTAAAGTTTTGGTCATATGGCCCACTAATAATCGTGTTAAATAATCGTGATTATGATTTTTGTCATAATCGAGCCGCCCTAGGTGATTCTCACCTTTTTACTGTTTTTGTACTGATGCTTTCTGTAAAAGCTTTGTTTTTAAGCAGAATCCAGAATCAACAGTAAAATTAAGAAAATGTTTTTTTTTCCTGACCTGAGTTTTGCCATGAAAATAGCCATAGAAGTTGGCATGCCATTAAAAACAGACAGACAAACGAAGATCTTTTGAAAATGTATGCCTTAAATTTTAGTCAATTAAAAGCAATAATTTGTCTATTCAGTCATTTAAGTCCAACTGAAATCATACCAGTTAATTTTTTTTTCAAGTCAGACAAATAGATAATGTGAATGTAGCTTGACTTTGTCCTGCATGTATACATTTTTAAAGGGATAGTTCACCTAAAAATGAAAATTCTGTAATTGATTACTCACCATCATGTCTTTCCAAACCCGTAAAACCTTAGTTTATCTTCAGAACACAAATTAAGATATTTTTGATGAAATCCGAGAGCTCTATGGCCCTGCATAGACAGCAATGCAACTGACACGTTCAAGGCCCAGAAAGGTAGTAAAGACATCATTAAAATAGTCCATAGACATCAGTGAGTCAACCTTAAATTTATGAAGCGACGAGAATACTTTTTGTGCACAAAGAAAACAAAAATAACGACTTTATTTAACAATTGTTGAATGAAGTTTTGTCTGCGCACAAAAAGTATTCTCGTAGCTTCATAAAATTATGGTTGAACCACTGATGTCACATGGACTATTTTAAAGGGTTTGGAACGACATTAGGGTGAATAATTAATGACAGAATTTTCATTTTTGGGTGAACTAACCCTTTAATTGGGTTACAATTGACCTCTGGTATGTGCACATAAAGAAGTGATGTGCAAACTGTATTTATTCCTTCAGATATGTTGTGTATACTTGGGCAGAGAGATGAACACTGAAGCTTGATTACACTAAAAATAAACGTAAACTTACTGTATTTTTACAGTACACATTTTTTTTTACACATTTTTTCAAGCCCAAAAAAACTTTTGTTCATCCTGAATTTTTATTTGTCATTATTTAGGACCCAGATGAAGATGAGGAGACACGTCAGTACAGACTGAAGATTGAGGAACAGAAGCGTCTGCGAGAGGAGATCCTCAAGCGCAAAGAGCAGCGCAGGCAGATGCAGGCTGGGATGCGCAAAAAAGAACTGATGGAACGGATCAGTGGCCAGAACCCAAACCAGACTCCACAAACTCCGATCCCCACACCCAACCCAACCCCAGCAGCCCAGCCCTCACAGCCGGTCCCTTCACTGATCTCTAACGGAACCCCCCAGAACCCTTCGACAGGTCTTAGTTCCCCTCGTCCAACTGTGAAGGCCCGTCTGCAGAACACTAAACCTCTGGCACAGACTTCAGGCTGGTCTGGGCCGCAGAAGCAACAGAGCGCTGGTCCTGATGCCAGCCAGCAGGGCCAATGGCAACCGCAGCAGAAGAGGACCATGACCCCACAAAACACTCAAAGACAAGGTGCTGCTCAGACCAGCCCATTAGAAGAGCCATTGGGTCAGCCTCAACCTGGAGGAAAGAGAACAGTGATGCAAAGAGCGAGCAGCACCGAATCGCCACAGGTTCCACAGAAAGTGCGGGTAGTTAAGCGTCTGGGAGAGGTGAGTGAATTTGTTATCGGTTTAAACTCTAAATGTGATCTTTAAAGTTCATATGCCACTTTTTGTCTTTGTCCTTTGGTGGTTTTCTTGAAGTAGTTGTCACCAGAGCTCTTTATAGAATAAATCAAAGAACTCGGAACGCGACAAGGAGGATTTCCAATTACTCTAAAAGTCAAGGTGTCTACTTTTTTGACCACTAAAGTTTTTAGAGCTAAAAACTCTTTAAAGCATAATGCGATTTTCTCTTTTTGAAAGAATCGATACAGAAAGCAGTCTCTATGCTGTGATTTGTGACACCACACTTAATTGACAGAACACTTTTACCTTTCAAGCCCATAAATGGCACTATTCTGGCGTCATTAAAGTGAGTCGCTTGGCATTTGCGCCTTTACTTTGAGTGACAACAGATCCAGACATTGTAAAGGTTTGTGTCTTCTTTAAATCAAGGTGCTGTTGCATGTGACGACTCGAGAATGGCCTAATGGAAGTTTATGTGGAGTCATTTAGCATTAAGACTGGAGTTTGAGGTGCTTATTTACAAATCTGACAGGACATTTTCTGCATCTCAACCAAGAAAAGAAGGACCCAAGGATGATTTATGGGCTCTAAGAGATGATTTGCTGCGTTGAATGAGGAGAAAACATCCTCTTCCAGTCTCCTGCCTGAAGCGAAGCTAAATATTTCCTTTGAGTGCCGGATCTCTGTGGATGAAGATAACTGTGTGTCAACTTAGTTAGTAGAAAGCTACACGCAGCTATCTGAAGTGCCGTGGCTCTGACTGACAAAGAGGAAAAAGGGGGAGGGGGTGTCAGACCAAGAGAATCTGATCCTCTAGGTGCTTCTCTTCTCCTGCTGTCAACCTCAGCCGCCTGACAATGTTATCTTTCTTTCTTGTTCTCCTTTCTAACCTGCGCTCGCTCGGTGTTGTTCTCTTCATCTATCTCGTCTCGCCTCTCGCTTTATCCATCCATCAGCTCATCATTGAAGTGTGTTAGAATAGGTGTCAGTCGGGGGACATCTGCAATTAATCTTCCTCGTCTACGTTGATATCAGTGTAATAATACCTGCGAGAGTCTGGGAGAAAGAGAGATGGCGGTTTGGGCGGATTTGTATTTTTCCCAGCTTAGCCGTACAGATAAGAGCAAATTAAATTTTCATCAGGATGAATACAAAGCCTGTGCCGTACAAAAGCAGCATGGAGGATGGAGGTGACTGGGTGGGTGGGGGAGGGGGAGGTGCTTGTCAAGTGTCGTCACCCCGCCTCGGTGTATCTGATAGATGTAATCTGAAGGTGTGGATTTTGTATAGAGTTAGATTAATCCATTAACCCCCTCAGACACAATTGAGATAATGCACATGGGTTTGAAAAAGACAGATGGGGAGAAAAGGATGAGTGTAGGAGGTTTGGCAATTATGTCTTTGTTGTAGACTGAAGGAATAAAAAAACAAACTGGTGACACAACCCTAACAAGTTTTATTTTATTTTATTTTTTTCACTTAAGAAACTGTTCTTAAATAATATAATAGTAAAGATATAAACATAACTGAAGATAAGGATTGTTGCAACATAATATATAATATGTTCTGTAAAAGAAATTAATATTATTCTTACACAATGATAGTAATGTGGTACGCCAAGTACACACAAACATCATTAATGTCAAACAAGTAATTGGGAACTATATTGGAAGTATAAAACACCTCATATAATATAAGTTCTTACATTTGATAACCATAATATTGTTAATAATACATAATTGCATACGTGACATACCTAATATAATGTAAATCCTTTCATAAGATGACCTGCTGCTACTACTACTACTTCTAATAATAATAATAATAATAATAATAATAATAATAATAATAAACTATAATAAATTACATTGAAATTAGGGCTGCACAATTAATCGAATTTCTAATCGCGATTACAATTATGGATGCCACAATTACGTAATCGTTCAAAGCGTCAATTAATCGTTCAAAGTCCACTTATGTTATTCTGCACGCTTAAGATATGTTTTTTTCTTTCTACAAGTTATCTTAAGGATTTTCCCATTGTTTTAGTTTTAATATAACATTATAATACCATTCATATTTTAACTTTTTTATAATTTAAAGAAGAAACCAATCCGACGTATATTTGACATTTGAGGCTTAATACTATAGAAAAGCACTAAAGGTTTTTCAGTTAGTGTTTTCAGCTTGTTTATTTTCATATAAAAGTACGGCATGCAGTTGCATCAAACAATGGGAGATACACTAAAAACGGAGAAGACTTGGACTATAAACCTTGCGCGCTGTATACAAACGAACATGGAACAATACATTTATTAATCTGTGTTAATGTTAGTTAATAAAAAGACAGTCGTTCAGTGTTTGTTCATGTGGTTGTTGCTGTTATGTGATGAAGCGGTGTCTGTCTAGGGTCAAGACGTGGGGTGATGACATCATCTTTTCACAAAATAAACGGATTGGCTGTCCACACGAAAACGCAAGGGTGTCATTTTCAGATTTATCCACTCTGGGACCCGGTTTCAAATAATAGCGGTTTCACGCTCCCAAAACGCCGGATCCGCCTGGACGAAATGCCAATACGATACAACATTTTTGCGTATACAGCTAAACGCCTTTCCGTGTGGACAGGGCCTCAAACTCAATTCCTGGAGGGCCACAGCTCTGCAAAGTTTAGCTCCAAACCTAATAAAACACACCTGATCCAGCTAATCAAGGTCTTCAGGATTACTAGAAACTTCTAAGCAGGTGTGATTTGGAGCTAAACTCTGCAGAGCTGTGGCCCTCCAGGAATTGAGTTTGAGACCACTGCTGTATAGTGTTTGTGTCCACACCAAAAAAAACATTGACAACAGAACAAACAGGGAGCCGAATTTTCAATAAGGATATCTAAGATGTAAATATTAAACATAAATTTGCATTTAAACAAATAAAATTCTTATTTCAACACAAGTAAAGCACTGAGCTGATTGAGTGCACAGTGGCACAGACACGCAAGTGCTTTGAGTGCACATCTTCTAAACAGTGTTGGAAAGTTTGTATTTAAATTGTCTTTTTTCAATAGTATATTTGAATAGCATATTTTCTAACAAGGAAAGAGAAAGAAAGAGAGAGCGCTTTTGTATGCGTTGTTTACCGTTTGTTCACTCAGCACACACCGTTTGGATTAAAACTAAACTGTATGATTAAGTAAAATATTAGCTGTTACATATTTTCTCAAATGGTGTCTCTGTGTAAACCTACTGGCACAGACAGACAAGTTTGTTAAACTACTTTTAAATTAACATGTAACATATTCAGATATAAGTTTAGCATGTGCAGGATTATGATACATCAGCCAATGTGTTAAGTGAAATAAACAGAAACATTTGTTAAATGAATTATGTAAAATTATTTGAAACTTATTCAAAAAACCCTTATCTGGGGTAGAAGCCCCCTTGGGTAAACTTTTGCAGAATATATAAATGACTTTTGATACTCTTTATATATATATTTATTTATTTATTTATTTATTTATTTTTTAAGTGTCATGAATGTAAAATACTAAATCAACTGTTCTGTTTAAATTGTGTTTTGACAATTTAGTTGAGTAATTAAAAAAAACTGACAACAGGCAAAGCAGAATCCAAGTAAAAGATAATTAAGAGATAAATTTATTCTGTGACTTGTGTAAAGAACTATACATATTAAATTACACATTTTAATTGAACATACCGTAATAGGAACACTATGCATTAAAATAGACTGACTTCACTCAATTAGCCTGTAGGTTTTAATGAATAGAGATGTCAGAAATGTACATTTAACTCATGCGACAATTAAAAATAACTTTATTAAAATGTATAATTTTTATTTACAAAAATTACAAAAATCATCAAATGTATTAAATTAAAAATATCTTAAGTGAGAACATTCCACTTTGGGCCTTCGGTGCATCTTACCCCAAAGGTCTTAATTTTACGCTTTCAGTTCAAAATAAAAAAATAATATTTTTGCTCACATACCTAAAAACATTAATGTATCCATTAATGTAATCCCACATTAACATAAAGACACAAAATCATTTTACATTCAACATAACAGTCATATATCAGAGTTTTCCAGTGATACAGTTTAAACTAGTTAACCTGATAACTGTTGATATTCAGATGACAGTTGACAAAATTAAGAAGAGCACAGCAATTCATTTAATGTGTTGAGATTTTGTCATCTATTGTCAAGAGAATAGGAGACGTATTTCCCAGCTTACCTTATACAATATGAAAAGAGCCCTTTTTGTGAGATTTAGTGGTCCTGTGAGCAACTTAAATCTGGCCATTTTCAAGGCCTTCTACATCTAAAGACTGCCAGCGGCCATCAGATAACACAGACACTTGAAAGGTTTCCCTGAAGATGAGGAAACAGAATGACTGAGAATTTGGAGGAAGAGCCAGAGGCAGTTTATCTCAGACAGGTCCACATCCATGGCATTTGTGCCCAGAGATGCAGTCATCACTCTTCTGAAAGATGTTTAATGAATTCAGCTATACCTTATCCTCCAAAAATGATTTCAGTATCATCCCGAAATCAGAGCACATCACATAATTGAACACTTTTGTCTCTTTTTGTCTTTGTTGGCTTATTTACTTACTCTGTGCCAGTTTAAACGGATCACACATTTCTGTACGTTTTGGTGAGCTCTAAGACTGCCGTTGTATTAATTACCTTAAAAAATTGTGGTGCAGTCATGATGGACTGTAATTTTTGTTATTTTGTGTGCCGCTGGAGATTTTCTTTCTGTGTGGGTTGTAAGATGTGTCTGCTCTGTATTCAGCAGGCAGATGCCGGTCCCAACACTGGTCCCCCACAGCAGCAGCAACAACAACCAATTGGTCGGCCTGCCCCCCAACAGAGACTTGGTCCCATCAGAAAAGTTACCATGGCAACTGGTGGTGTACAAAATCAACAACAGGCTGGCCGTGGCATGGCAAACCAAACGAACCGGGTATGACTTTGAATCTGGATTAATCTCATAAGCCCTTAATTGGACAGGTGCACAATGGCATTTTGCACAGCTGACACTAAGCCCTGATACTAATGGTGCTTTCAAGTCATGTCCAAATGAATGTATTTACCACTTTTTTTTTAAGCCACGGCTTTCTGAGTTGGGAACGTCTGAATTAAAGCATTATGGTGGAAGCTAATTGCTGTTAGACATAATAAGTTGTAACTGTGAAATGTTTTTATGCATTTTGTGCATAACTGCATTACTGTTGAGGAAAATTATAAAACTTGCCAGAAAGCAACGCATTTAACTTGTTTGATGAATCTGATCAAATTCCCCATCTCCCATCATCCTCTGAGGCACCACAAGAGTGGAAAAATACACCACCGTTGAAATGTTTAGGGTAAGATAGATTTTTTTTTTTTTTAATTAATGATTCATTTAGCAAGGATGCATTAAATCTTAAATGACAATTTTACACAACTTTATATACATCAAAGAATCCTGAAGCAGCATGTTTTCAGCATTAATAATAAGAAATGTTTCTTGAGCACCAAATCAACATATTAGTATGATTTCTGATGGATCATGTGACACTGAGAACTGGAGTAACGACTGCTGAAAATTCAGCTTTGCCATCAAAGGAATAAATTGAATTTTAAAATATATTAAAATAAACCAGTTATTTTAAATGCATTGTAATAATTGTTAATAATATTACTGCTTTGCTGTATTTTTGATCAAATAAATGCATCATTGGTGAGCATAAGAGATGTTCAAAACATCTTACTAACCCCAGATGTTTGAATGGTTGTGTACATAAACATCATTTACACACATATTGTGCTCTTTGTAGTTGTGTTAGCTCTCAAAAGTTTCATGTCTTTGCCAGGAAGTGGAAAAGTTAATTTGCTTGTGAAATTGGTCATTTTTTGACCAAAATCACTTGAATGCCCGTATCAATATTATTTTATTTATTCATTTATTTTGACCGGAACTGTTGCTGTTCCTCCTGAACTTGTATAGTGTTGTCCAGAATATACACTTCAGTCTTTGTTAGGCTCTTTTTCCCTGTCATAAAGAGCTGCTCTAAGTGGTTCTCTCCCTCACGCTTCAGCACTAGTAAAGACGGCAGATTTGGTTTCCTGCTATGGCTCAGCTGTGTCACTGCTTCTCCCAGGGGACTGGTAGCTGTTTTGGAGGAGAGCAGGAGCAGTAATGATATGGAACAGAGTGCCAGGTGTGATGATATTGACAGGCTGAAGCAGGAGAGATGAAGATCCCTTGGCCTTTTCAGCACGCTGCCGTCTCTGTACAGTAGTCCATTCTCAGGGGATAAATACAGTGCTAACGTGTGTCAGTCAGTCACAGCAGAGTGCCTTCCTGCACAGCCGCTCACGCTGTCTCAGTCCGACTGTCTTGCTGCATCTGCCTGAGCTCTCATGTTGAGTCAGATATTCTAAACACTTTCTGCTGTTTACTGATATAACCGTGGCCTTGTAAATCACTCACTGACATTGTACCCAGTGTCTTGCTTGGAGCAAAAGTGAATTGTATACTCGGTATGTGTAAGTGGTGAGAGAGCATCTAGCTCATAGCATTGGGAACCCATAAGGGATTTTTCAGCGTGCCTGCAGCACTAAGCCAACCTGGCCCTTTTGATGCCTCCCTTTCATTTAAAAAGGACTGTATGGAATGGAATGAAATGTCTTTGCATTGTACTGGAATATTTTATCATTACCCCAAATTTAAACACAAGATAAACACAAATCTTTATACTTTTGAATATACATTTGGCAACACAATATATAAACAAAATTGTTTTCACAGTAATTTTTTAAAATAAATTAATGCTTTTATTCAGAAAGGATGCATTAAAAAGTGATAGTGAAGACATTTATAATGGTACAAATGATTTTGTATTTCAAATAAATGCCATTCTTTTGAACTATTCGTCAAAGTATCCTAAAAAAAAGTTTCCACAAAATTAAGCAGCAAAACGGTTTTCAACACTGATAGTAAGAAATGTTTTTGGAGCACCAAGTCAGCACCGACTTTGATGAAGCATTTCCAGAGTTAACATTATATGTGTGTGTGTGTGTGTATGTATGTGTGTATATATAGGTATACACACATACAAGTTAACATTGTATGTGTGTGTGTATGTGTATATATATATACACACAGGGCTTAAAGTTCTCCGGCACCGTGTTGGATCTCCGGCGTGTAGCATTTGGCTGCGGAAAAAATTAATCCTACATTTAAAAAAAAAACTTGTTGATATCACTTTCGAGTCCATGAGTTCGGCTACCAATGGTATGAAAGGAGCACAGCTTTCACTCTCAACCAAACTAACATTACCAGCCAATCAGAATATTTTGCTCTTATAAACACGAGACGCACATCGCAGCTCTGATGAATGGAGAAGCGTGACACGTTGAAAAAGCTGCGAGGCGCAATGAACAAAGATGTCCATATAGCACATATTTACATAGAAAAACGAATTAAAAAGCAGTGGAGATTATAAACAGCTCAGAGTAATCACGTCATCTCCATAAGAACGGTATGATTGCCAGAACAAATTTACCGGGTTTTTGAAAAGGTCCTGTTCACACATGATCTCTGTCTTTTAATGGTAACTTACCAGTAAAGACTGTATGTGTGACACTTCCTCTGCATTTGCTGTGAATTTGAATTGCTTAACATTCATCTGGGAAAACTGTGCATTATCTCACTAGATTTGTAACGCAAATCATTTTAACCTTTGCCAATACAGGAGAATACATCAACCTATTTCTAAATATGCCATTTATTGTACATCGCGATTTCAAAATAAAAGTTTCTGAGTTTGCATGTGGCCAAATATGAAAATTAAATGGATTTAAACATCTTTTAATCACGCTGTAAATTGAAACGTCACCAGGCCGGTGGCGCCCTCTGCAGGAATTTGTTATAACACATAATGTACTTGGTTATGTTCATATTATGTATCGGCATATTACATTATGTATTTTATCAGTGTTGTTCAATAAAACCATGTAATTACTTGGTTTTGATATTTTATTTGAGCCAATTATTATTGCCTCATCGTTAGTTTATATATAAATAGTCCTACTAAAGCTTGGTTTTCACTTAGGTCTATTTGTGTTACTAAAATATACCAGATTACTCAGTTGTCAAAATAATCAGTAGATTACTTGATTACCAAAATAATCATTAGTTATAGCCCTAAATTAGTTAAAGAATTTCATAATACAACTGCATTGTTTTACTTTTTGTAATTAAAAGACAAATATTTTGTCATTGAAAATTTCTTAAAAATAGTATTAAAATATTGTCTCGTTCTAGTGAACCAAGTATCTGTATTTTGTCTCATCTTGTGAGCTAAGTGTATTGTCACACCCCTAGTGTCTACGAGCATGATATATAGCTTGTAATTTTCCAAGTGTATGATATAGCTTTCATTCTTCAGGTCAACCGTATATTAATGAAAAAAAAAATCAGTTTGAATAAGGAAAGCGATAACTTTGTCATAGCATCCTTTCACATGTTAAAGTTGCCACAGTTATTGCATGCTCTGCATGTGCAGACCCCCAAAAGAAATACAATGTATTTTTGGCTATTGCTACAAATATACCCCAGCGACTTGAGACTGGTTTTGTGCTCCAGGGTTGCATATACATACAGATACACATATATACCCTGGCATAACATTGCATAAATCTTGTTTATGCTGCTGCATGCATTTCTAATGCAACGGCTGATGGAGTGATGGCAAATTTAAAGAAATCTCTTTTGACCAGCATAATCTCTTTAAAAAAAAAAATTATTTTGGAAAGTCATAGAAATGTTTTTTTTTTTCTTCTTCTTTTTTTTCCCCCTTTAGTTTAATTTATTTTCAATTCAAGTTTACCCAACTATGACAATTTCCGCTTTTGAGAACCCCCGGAAATGTGAAAAGAGTCCATTAGAATGATTTCTGATGAATCATGTGACACTCAAGATAATCATGACTGATGACAATTCAGCTTCTTATTATCTGCAATTAATAATATTTTAAAATATATTAAAATAGAAAAGTTGTTTCAAATGATATTTCCTTATATTTTTTTAGATTATTTTTGACCAAATAAATGCAGTCTTGGTGAGTGTTAGAGACTTCTTTCAAAAACATTAACAAAAACTTTTGAACTGTAGTGTAAACATCCAGAATTTCAGTTCAAATTAATTTTGAAATACTTTTTTTTTTCATGTTTTTGTTTAACATTCAAAGCAGTTTAACAAGGAACAGTGCCTTAAAAAAACTTTATTGCCTTATAAAATGAGAGGCTTATGCTGAAGCGTTATCTGTCTCTGGTTTGTGCCCAGCACAGAGCTTTGCTTTCAAGGCCAAAGAGCTCAGCTTCAGTCTCAACAGACCACAACATTTTCATTCACCAGGTTTTGTCACATGGCCTCTAGCAGACTCCAGGCGTGACTTAATGATGGCCTTTTACAGAAGTCTCTTCCCTCGAGCCGCTTCCAGGCTTAATCAGTGAAGTGCTGAAGAGATTGGTGGACTGTCTTTCCTATTTCAGACAAAAGCACTCTTTCTTGATGTTGCAGCTGGTTTCCTGGCCGCAAATACACATTTATTCACTATATGAACTAATATTCTGTAGCTTTGATTATTTAATAACTGGTAATTCAATCAAGGCTACAGGAAATTTCTTAATATGGTTTAGCTTGCTTTTTGAAACTATATGATATGGTTAAACCATTGAAGTCTAACAATGCCTCTGATAATATAAACCAAAAACAGACATCCAAAAGATTATTTTGAGAGCTAGAGGATGGGAGCAACTATTCTAATAAAGTATGAATTAGAATGTCTGTTTTTAAGAGCAATTACTGACTTGCGATATTTCCGATGAACAGCTGTACAAAAATAATTAATAATTAATAATTTAATTTGTAAAATAATATAATATCATAATTTTCAAAAATAGCTAACGAATATAACAACGCATTAACAAAGATCCTTAGTTCCAGCAACAGCCGGTAGAGTGTACTGTTAATTGTTCTTTCCATCTTTATTCAATATTCCCCTTCCTGATGTCCACAGGTGGTAGTTCGGGGTCGGGCGCGAGGCCGTGGTGGGGGGCGTGTGATGATGCAGCAGAACCCAAGAGCTCAGGATTGTCAGAGAAGCACTGTCTGCATTGAAGGTTTATCCACCACCACAACCAACAAACAGCTCACGAACCTTCTCAACTCCATTGGCCCTGTTGAGGTAAGGCTTATCAAAACACATTTCTGTCTTTTCTTTTTATTACTGACCAAGCATCAGAAGGGGGCGTATGTGGGAATTTTATGCAGAACTTGCTATATGTATCATTGTTACAATGCCCTGAGCTTCCATCAACAAATTGATGATGGCACCACCTGATGGCCAAAGAGCATAAAACAATGTTGTTTTTTTAAGTATATGTATTTACAGTATACATAACTAAGTGTCAACTTCAAGCTGTTTAACCGTTTTGAAGACAATAATATCTTCAGAACAAAAAATCTCTTTCATATTCATTTAAACAGTTGGTTACACTTTATTTTAAGGTGTCCTTGTTACAGTGTAATTATACATTTAAGTACAGAGTAATATTAATTAACTACATGTCCTTACTATATGGTTAGGATTAGGGTTTGGCTTAGGGTTACTTGCATGCAATTATGCGTAATCTATTATAATAGTAAGTACATGTAACATGTAACAAGAACACAGAGTCACTTGTACTCAGAGAAACATTCAGGAGCACAGAAACTTGTCGACTCTGCCCTGCATCTTTTATTACTAAAATAGCTTAAGTACTGAAATGCTTCATTATGTTTCTCAGCTAAGTGGTGGTAATGTATCTGGTTTTGAAGTAATTAAACTCACAGCTTCACGATTAGTAGAGACATGCCGCACAGGTAATTCATATATGCACAGTCTTCAGAATCCTCGATCTAACAACCCGTAGATAAAGTATCTAATGGAAATATTTTATTCGCCCAGTCAAAATTTGCTCTGCAGGCATCAGTGACAGCATTACCTGTGACCATTGTTTTTGTGGGAAAATACACGGCTAGGTGGTTCTTCGCCTCCATGTTGTGTTAAAATCATTTAATGCCCTCCTAGGTGTAAACTATCCTTCACAAAATACCATGATTTGGAAGACAAAGAATTGCTTCCTGACAACGACCCCAAGAATAAACTAGGTAGAGTGTAGAATATTCCTCTAAATATTACAATAGCGCCATCTAGCTGTGTGCATTCAGGGCTGTGCTCCTGTATGATTTTCTCCCAGCTCTTGAGGTGTATCACCCACTGTTACAGTGCAAAGTAACAGAGGTTATCTCTTACTGAAACAAGCAGATGAGCATTTAGATAATAAAACCCACTGCTAATACACAAATTGATGGTTATTTTGTAGATGTTTACAATGTTGCCGGAGCAGCGGAAGGCCATTGCCAAGTTTGTGAACTCTCAGCATGCAGCAAGTTTTCAGCACAGCTTTCACAGGTACACTTTTAAATTCATCTTAAACTGGATTGTGCTATGTGTTTATACACAATGCATGAAAATGAATAGAGTCGTTGACATTTTATGGATAATTTGAATTTTCGGACTTTTGTTTTTCTTCATATTTTTATAGAATGAGGTCTATTCACACCAAGACTAAATATTCATTTTAAATGTCTGTTGCAAATAAGATTTTGAATAGAAACCGTGAATTCCTATTAGACTTCTGTCTGTTTCTCATTAATAGCTTAAAAAACTTGTAGTGTTGTAGAACCGTTATCAAATATCAAACCTCTGAAGTCTCTTCATATACACTACCAGTTAAAAGTTTTTGAACAGTAATATTTTTAATGTTTTTAAAGAAGTCTCTTCTGCTCAACAAGCCTGCATTTATTTGATCCAAAGTACAGCAAAAAAATTTGAAATATTTTTACTATTTAAAATAACTGGTTTCTACTTAAATATATTTTAAAATGTATTCCTGTGATTTCAAAGCTGAATTTCTAGTATCATTTCTCCAGTCACATGATCCTTCAGAAATCATTCTAATATTCTGATTTGCTGCTCAAAAAACATTTATTACTATGTTTTTCAGGTTTCTTTGAAGAATAGAAAGTTCAGAAGAACAGCATTTATCATTTAATAGAATTTAATAGAAATCCTTTCTAACATTATAAATGTCTTTATCACTTTTGATCAATTTAAAGCATCCTTGCTAAACAAAAGTATTAATTTCGATAATGAATTATACTGACTCCAAGCTTTTGAATGGTATAGTGTATAATGTTACAAAAGCTTTTTATTTCAGATAAATGTTGGTCTTTGGATCTTTCTATTCATCAAAGAATCCTGAAAAAAAAATACTCAACTGTATATTGATAATCAGCAAAT